ATGCACGCGTAATTCCAACTTACAATCTGATTATAGAAAATTGTGGCCAATCTAATAACAATTCGTGTAGGAATCTTCAAGAGTATTCTGTGTTTAATAAGTTAAAATTATTTAAGAGCCCAGGCAGAAGATATTTGGTCTTAAAATTATTTATTTTGAAAAAATAAGTTTTTTTTTTGCCAGGATGCAAGGCCCAGTGATTTTTTGTCAGAAAATCCCTCAAAATATTCCTTCACATTTCAGAATTTTTGGGTATAAGACAAGTTCAAAAGTATCAGACGATTTTTGCCGACGGATATATACCCTCAGCTCCTGTCCGTTTATTTAAATAAATTTTGGCATCCACATTTATTATTCACCGCGTTGAGCCTTTTATGGGGAAGTTTACGAAGGAGGTGGCCAATGTTATCCACCTCTAAAATCATCAAAATACAAAATATCGGGGGTACCGTTATATGGGGGCTATACGAAGACCTGCACAGACAAATTTCTGTCTTAGGCTCTAGTATCCATTATGAACTTCAAATACCAAATTTGAAACATTTCCAGTGAATAATGTCGTTTAAATAAACAAAATACCGAAAAAAGGCAGGTGCCATTATATGGGGGCAATACCACAACGTGGACCTATATCAACCACCAAAAAAACTGCAGACATAATATACATTTGAGTAAAATTCTGTCAACCTACTTCATTTCGTTCGGAAGCTAGAGTGATTTTCACAGACGGACAAATGGGCGTATCAAATGATATATACCTTCATATGGCTGAGGGTATAATTACAGGGTAAGATAAAAAAACTCTAACAAAGTCAAACGCCATAATTTTGAGGTGATCGACACTTTGGTATTTTTTAGTGCCAACCTTGCTGTCCAAAATACTCCAGACACAATAGTCCAACGGATTGGTATCCGGAGATTTTGTTGACCATTGTGCGCTGTAAATGAAGCGAGGAACCTCATTTTGTAACCATTTTTGGGTGGCGCGTGCTGAGTGCGTTGGTACTGAGTCCTGTTGGAATGTCCAATGTCTGCGGCCAAATTGTTTGCGTGCCCAAGGCTTTAATACACCCTCCAGAATATTTTCGCGATAGTATTCGGCATTTATTCTGATGTCACGAGCGGAAAGCAACCATCGGCTGTTAAGGCGGCCCACATTATCACCATGGCCGGCGCTTAAGTTCTGGTGGCCAATCTTACACATTTTCAGCTGACCTCTTTGGCAAGTAAACACGATCATTTTGTTTGTTTACAAACTGCTGGTCAACGAATGTTTTCTCATCGGAGAAAAGCAAATTCGGCAGTTCACCACTTTCGGCCATGCGAAGCAACTCTTTACCTCTTTTGAGTCTATTTTCTTTTGTTGCGGTGCAAGTTCTTGCACTTTTTGAAATTTCAATGGCTTTGCCCAGAGTTCATTTTTCAATATTTGCCGAATGGAATATTGCGATATGTTCAGCTCACGAGCCATTTTTCAGACACTGCGACGCAGGTTTCGATCAAGTCGCTTCTTTACTTTTCGAACCATTTCTGCTGATGTTGCTGTTTTCTTCCGTCCACTTCCTTGACGTCGGGCTATGCTACCAGTATCACGGTAATGAGCGATGGTACGAGATAGTCATTTTTGGTTTTCCAGCCAAATATAAAGAAATCAAACTATCACACTTTAATGCCATCACGAATAACTTTATTTGTGGAGAATTCTCACCAAAATGATGTATAGACTTACTTATGTGAAGATATAAATTAAACTTGTAATAACATCATTTACCAAATACTGTGCAATACTCAACTTCGCCTAAAAGTATGCTCTACTTTTGACTAAACATAGCATTGAAAATAGTTTTCCCAAAAACCAATGTAATTGTAATTTTTTTCAGTGGCACAGTAATACTTTATTGACGACGTGTGCTGTTACATTGTCTAACATTGAACGTTGGATTTATGTTTCTGTTTTTACATTTGATTTTGTACTGGAATGACTGTTTTTCGAAAGAATTTATCAAACTACCAAAGACCTCAAATGGTAAAGCCTGGATAAAATGCATAGTGGAAAAATAGATAATGTGAAAAATATATAGAGGCACTGCTCACAACAGTGACATGCTAGAATAAAAATCATATTTACACAGCAATTTTAAGAATAACATTTTCTGTAAACCAAAAATTTGGAGTCAAAATTGAATTCCTTTGACGTTTTCACTTAATTGAAAATTGCATTTGCTGTTGAAATAACTTAACATTGGTGATTATGTTGTTATGATATCGTAACAACAGAGGTATTTACACCTGGTGACAATATTTTGACTCTGTCTTGTCCCATCTTTATACTTCTATGTCTTTGCCACTACTCCTTCTCAAACCTTCATACTTCTCATTCGAGTTTTATTTTGAATTTATAAAATAAATCCAATATAAATTTCTGACATTTATTTCCGACCCACTTAATTTTCTTTTCTTCTGTAACTAAAATTTAAAATGTTAATAATAAAATTGAAATTATTAATAATAGAAAATATTAAAAATTGTACCCATTTCACATTCAAATATTAGAAAAACGATATTTGCCAAACATTTAAAAACAATTAAATTAAAATTAATAATTAAGTATTAAACTATTCATTTCCATAAAAAGTAACCAGCAAAAATCATGTCATTGGTATTGTGTTACAAAAACCCTTTTTAGCTCTTAAACGAAAACATTGAATCAAGAATTTAATAAAATTCCCAATAAAAATACATGTTATATAGTGTTCTTGTTTAGTTTTCTCTTTATTTCATTTTCATATTGTTTTAGACATAGCTTTTCTTTTTTTTCTTCTTAAATAAATGCTCTGATTTTATCTGATTTGATTTCGAAATCAAAACAATTGTTTTTAAAATTATTTTTTTTTATTTTGTTCTTTAAAGCGGCTATATAGGAAAATGTATTTTCAAAGTGTGGACTTTTGATAGCAAACAGTCAAACTGTCTACTATTAGAGTCATATTTTACTATATTTTTAATACGCAATTTGTTATAAAAAGAATTTCATTTAATTTTATTAGCGAACAATTTATTAGAGTTGTGGGTTTTTTATTATTATTTTATTATAAAATTTGTCTTAAATTTTAATGTTTTCTATTGTGTTTTTGTTTTTTTTTTTTTTTTTAGTTTAGCTACAAACAAATGACTGTCTCGTCTATGCTAATTTTCAAATACAAATAATCCTGGTCCGTTTGTTGTTGTATTTTTTTGTTTTTGTATTTTAATATAATTATGTATCAAAAAGTGTATGTATTTTTGTTGTTGCTTATATTAAAAAACGATTGTACACATACGTTTGTATGATTGTATGTAAAAAATATAGTTTTTAATTTAAACATAACAATAAATAAAAACAAACGAATTTATAACAATTTTATAAAGATTTTAGAAAAAGAAGCATTTATTTATTCATTTTTCTTTTTAGTATCAAAACAAGTTTAGGTGGTTTATAGTTACTGCGTTATTTATTTAAATAGTTTAGATGGTATTGGACCTTTTTAGACTCGGCGGTTCACTTTTTCATTGTTGTCTATTTGAATATTCTGTATACAAAGATTTTTTTTGTTTTTGAATTTTTTAGAACTTTTCTCTGCACTTGATGTTGGAAAACCCAAAATTATTTGTGTTTCTAAACCTCAACTGTACAGCAAAATTAAAAAAAAATATATTTGGGCCCGACTTTTTGATACCCTACACCACTTTGCTAATTTTGTAGAGCTCCACATAACAATTAAAAGTTTTTTATGGGAGAATTTAATCATACACGCTATGATTATAATTATAATTTAAAGTTCTAAAATCAAAATATGCCGAAGCATTTGTATCTTTTAAATTCGGACTTGTTTTGCCCATTCGGTGCAAAATTAATTTGAAATCAGATAAAGATATATGTGGGAGCTATATACAAATCTGAACTCATCTCGGTAAATTTTGGAAAAAATATTTCTGAGCTGTATTTGATATATTTCCCTGAATATCGTTATTACGGAGTGCATATTACGACTGTGGGTAACAAATACAAGAAATCGGATGAACAATATATTGGAGCTATAGCTATATCTGAACCGATCTTCACCAAATTTGGCATACTAGCTTCTAGACTCAATTCGGTAGTAAGTGCCAAATTTCATCCATTTGGGCAAATATTAGACGTTTGGTGGACAATAAAAAGTAAATCGGACGAAGTTATATATGGGAGCTATATCCAAATCTGAACCGATCTTGATAAAATTTAGCAAAAGTATTTCTGAGCTGCATTTGATATATTTCATCAAATATTGTTGCTACAGAGTGCATATTACGACTGCGGAGGACAAAAATAGCAAATCTGATGAACAAAATATATATGGGAGCTATAGCTATATCTGAACCGATTTCAATCAAATTTGGCATACTTATTTTCAGGCCTAATTTGGTTTTATGTGCAAAATTCCATACTATTCGGGCTGATATTACACGTTTGGTGCACAATAAAAGGCAAATCGGACGAAGATACATATAGGAGCAATATCTAAATTTTTACCGATTATCTTCAATTTCAATAGGGTTCGTCCTTGGGCCAAACAAATGATTTGTGCAAAATTTCATCTCAATCGGATAATAAATGCGACCTGCACTTTGTTCACAAGAATACATGGACAGACGGACGGACTGACATGCATAATTCAACTCAGAAAGTGATTCTATGGAGATCATCAAAAGGAACTATGGCTCTATCTCGCTTCCTCCTTCATGTTACAAACAAATGCACAAAGACATAATACCCTTACCACTATGTGGTGTAGGGTATAAAAATGACCATTCTAGCCATGGTCTACCGTATACTAAAAATGTTCTCCACTTTCCATTACGTACTTATTTCATATTGCCTCAATTCTCAACTTAAAAAAAAACATGGACAAATATCGTATCATATTTTAGGGGCCCTATTCTGTAACTTCTTAACAACATTGTTATGTTTTCAAAAACACCCATTTCATGTTTTTTTTTTTTTGTTCAATAATCGGTAATCAGCTTGCAGATATTTACAATGTAAATAATTAAAATAACTTCCCAAAAGAAAAAGACCTTGACCTTGATTTGTATTTTTCCAGAATTTTATGTTTTGCCATTTTACGAGTTCTAATAAATTATTCTTCATAAAAATATAATTTCAAATCATATCCACCAAATATGCATGTTCTTTAAAAAAATTGAAAAACAAGTTTAAATTTCGTTCTGAAACAAATAGAAGAGCCTATATTTGGTTAACAAAAAAAATAATAAATAAAAAAACGTGGGTTTTCCCATTCAAATCTAGGCTGATTTTATTAAAATTACTTATTCGAAAAAGACCGGTTATATTTGCGCTGTAATAAAGGTGACAAAATAAAAGAATAGAACTTGATCACACAAGTGGCATTTATGGCCTTTACGGAAATTCAAGTCAATCGCTGACATTTAACCTTTTTTGGTTCTGACATGTTTATGAAATGAAATTTCGTGCGTAAATCTACACAGCGCCATAACGAGGCTTTGTATTTTTGTTATTAAGAGAGTCTTAATGATCCCAGTTATGTTAATTTTAGTTTTATATAAAACAACCCATCAAACCCTATATTAAATGCCTTCTTGGTGTTATCTTCAAAACAACAAATTGTTCTTTCAAAATGAATAGCATAATTGGATGGGAACAAGGCCTATACAATAGGCCTTGACCATAAACATAGTAGTTGAATTTGAAAATAATCTTACAGAACGTTTAATATAAATGAGTTAACCCACTGGACCCCCTTACTAATACTTCAAAAAAAATTATGTTGAAGTAGGTTAACCCTGCAAGAAGTTCTAACGTAAACATGGCATTAGTAATTTTTGCACAATTGTGATTTACCTCTCTTTGAATTTCAAATCACAATTCTGTCTTAATTGTCGAGTAAGGCCACTGGCCGACCATGTATAGACCAAGGGTGGGGAACTAAATTTAAGCGGAGGAGAGTTCTTATTTTCAAAATGACACAAATATCTCCTTCTATTTGATATTCAGAATTCATAATTGATTATATTATGGTGGAAGACCATTTTCACAGATGAGGTCCTTTTTTCGGATATAGCCACAATTCAACATGTGTTTTTTTTTTTTAATTTATTTTTCTTTTTCAAAGAATTGTTTTTTCATATATATATATATAAGTCGGGCGGGCCATATTAAGTAGAGCTCCCGTAACAAAAAAAAAAAACTTTATATTGGGTATTTATGTGAAGTAGATCATACCAACTATGAACCTTATTTGAATGCGTATCATGGCTTTAGAGTTGTCACAATTTGGGAACTATATCCAACTCTGAATCGATTTTCAATAAATTTTGTCCCTCTAGTACCAAATAATATTGCTGTATAGTGCATGATAGGACTTCGATAAGAATTATATAAAAAAATATTTATTGGAGCAATAGATATACCGGACCGGAGTTTCACCAAATGGAATCCAATTTGAGCTGATATTACATATATTTCGTCTTAAGTACCAAAATTCAGTCCATTTGGGTTTATATTAGCCATTTGGTGCACAATAAACCTGAAATCGAATAAAGATGTATATGGGAGCTATATCCAAATCTGAAACGATCTTGACAAAATTTTAGGCACTTATTTCTGAGCTGTTTCTGATATCTGGTACCAAAGATCATTGTTGGGGAGTCCATATTTTACATGTGAGGGACCTAAAACCCCAAACCAGGTGAAACATATATATGTTAGCTATAGCTATAACTAAACCGATTTCCACCGAATTTGATGCACTTGCTTCTTGACTGAACTCCGTCGGATGTGCCAAAATTCAGGACATTTGGACTGATATTGGCCATTTGGTGCACAATTAACCCGAAATCAGTTGAAAATATATATGGCAGCCATACCTAAATTTTAACCGATTAACCATTTCAATAGGGTTCGTCCTTGGGCCAAATAAATTATGTTTGAAAAATGTCATCTCGATCGGGCAATAAATGCGACCGGCATTGCCTGAATAAAATGCCTGAATTTTATTTCAATTCCATTGCGTTTCTTCCAATTATTTTTGTGAACATTTTAAAGCAGAAAATACAGATACAAATTCGCCAGAAGTCAAACGCATTCAGAAAAATATTGTAATTAGCTGGTAGCTCTACCATACCTTTAGTGTACCATTGCTTACTAAAATTAAATATTCTAGGCAATTCCGTTGAAAATGTAACAGAACGTTTCAGCTCACCGATGTGCAAAGTAAGAAAATCCTCACTATTTTGGATGTGGGGGGCTTTGAGGAACCAATGAACAGTCTGACCCTTACTGGCAATTACCTAGATATGACACCTATGCAAGTCGTCGAAAATGGAATTCGAAAAAGGGGACACGTCGGCACTAAAATCTTAATGCAGGCAAGTCAAAAAAAACGATTCATTATCTAAATAACCTTAAAGCCCTTCGACCAAGGATTTGATAAATGCAAAAATACATTTATGCCCTAAAACAAACAATTGGAATTTGCAAAGTAACCTAAATACCATCTCTTGGTGGCGAAAATTCTCCTTAAGAAAGAAAAACAAATCTTCTTTGGAAGGATAAAGAAGCCATCTCACCAGCTCACGTTGGGTGAACTTAAAGAAAACTAGCGGGTAAGTTATGGAAACAATTTTGACCCTTCTTGGCATAATTCGATTTGTTATATCTTATTGTGACAACGACTTTCATGAAAACTGCCATTGAATTTTTTAAATATAATTTTATTAGAAATATACGTTTCTCATCAAAGGACTACTAAACTTTACATAATTTCACAATCTAATCGGCTTTTATCACATTCCGTATTTCTGAAACAAACTAATCTATGGTTCTACTTCATTTTTAAAACAGAACTCTAAAAAATCAAAAGCTCTTACAAAAAATATTCGACGGCAAAATTTGTGAAAAAAATCTCAACTCTTTTATTGTAGAAAGATTTGTTCATTTTCAATTTATAACGACAATCTTATGACGATTTTTTAACTGGATTTGGTCATGCATATATTTCATATGTATGAAAGACTGTGACGATGCATTTTTATTACATACATGTCATTAGAAGGTGAACTTTAATGGATGATCGATTATCAAAGAGGAAAAGTGGTCTCAGGTTGCCTTATCGAAATGTACTAAATTCAGGTCTAGATTTCAAATAATACAGTCATCGAATATTAAAAAATATTAAATATTAAGTTAAAAAAATTGGTGTAAATTTAGGTAATGCCATCTCTTTATCCGTAATCTGTTGAATATATCCCGAAATTAGATCAATTAAAAACCTGTAAGTCGTTTCAATTGATTTAGAAATCTTTAGCCTGTCATTGTGGAGCAATAAAATTATAACTTCGACAATAACACCGCCCTATGGTCTAAAAAGGTCCATTTTTATTTAGTGTACCGACAGGCAACATCCCGTCATAAAAAATAAAACTTTCCTTTCTTTATAAATTAAAAATTGTTTAACAGAACATAGAAATTGAAAAAAATGGAAAAAGCTAAAACATATACAGCCTGCTTGTTATTTTTTCTGTGAATTGAAACATGTTCACATCCTAGCTAAATTCGAATGTGATGTGTATGTGCACACAAGAACACACCGACTACATTGTATACATCATTACCTATGTGTGTGTTTCTAATTAACAATTAATATTAATTTTTTTTTGAACTTAAAAAAGGCAACCGTTTGCAAACGATATAACTAACGATGAGAGACTAACAATAATACATACTAAATACAACATTTAAGCATCATTATACAACTTGATTTTGTTTTGTTTTTTTTTTTTTTTTTGGTTTTTATAAAATTTATAAAGATTTTATAAAATCTTGTCATTTATTTATTTATTTTCTTGTTGTTAGCAATTTTTTGTTTAGAAATTAAGAAATTATTATTAGTTTGACCATTTACAAAAGAAAAAAGATACAATTTTCTTTAAATATAGTTTGTAGTTGTTGTTGTTTGTATACAAAAACTTATTATAAAAAACAATGTTTGTTCGCTTAATCCTTTTTTTTTTTTTTGTATTTTCTTTGTTCTAGCAAAAGGAGGAGAATATTGTGGGAGGGGTTGGTTTCTTTAGCTTATAATAATTTACAAAAAGACAAAGACATTAAATGATAATAAGAGAAGGCGGTCGGGGGGAGGAGAGGTCGATGAGTGGTGGGTAGGTAGATGGATGTTTATATGGGGTTTCAATGATGATTGTTAAATGTTTCGTTTTGATTGCTGTTCTTTAAGGATTGTAAAGTAGAGTTTAGTAATGCTGCTCCAGAGAGAGAGATACAAAGAGAGAGTAGTGGTAGTTTCTCATTCTCATCTTCAAATACCCTTAACAATAATAAATGTGTTGGTAGGTAGGTAGGTATTGTGTTGCATGTGGTGGTGGATGGTTTTTTTGTTTTTACACACTTAAATATGATTGATTGTTTTTTTTTTTCTTTCTTTTTGTTTTATGTTTTTTATATAAATAAGAAATTATATAATATATAATTTATAGTTTTCTTCATTCCATTTGTTTTTGTTTTGTTTTTAATTTCTTTCTTTCTTATTTTTCTTGTGTTTTGTATATAATTTGTTGCTAAAAACTATGTAAAATTAATTTAAATATTTTAATAGGCTTAAATCGAGTGGTTGTGTTGTGTGTATGTGTGTGTGTTTCTTGTTGTTCTATCTTATTTGACTTTTCTCTGGTGAAGACTAGAGCTACTGGTATCTGAATTAAGAATAGCTTCGTTAGATGAGATAACACCTTCCTTGAGTATGTGATCGCCACCGCCGTTGGCATAACCGTTCTTGTAATGGCCATTTTTCAAATGACCATTTGTCTGTATTGTGGTTTCAACTTCGTCTTCCATTACAGGCTGCAAAGAGAAATTAAAAAAAAAGCAATTAATTTTGAGTTGAAAAACACTAAGAATTTTTTTGGTAAAGAATTAGAAATGTTTCAAGTTCCAAGTATTCCTAGTAAAGGATGGTAAAATCTAGTCCGTTTCTTACGAATTAAAATTCCAACCCTAAGAAATTTGGAATGAGAGTCACTAATGGAGTCCAGGATAGATTTTCAAAAGGTTTTTTGGAAATTCGAACTTTAAGGTTACGAAAAGGAACCAAACTTCTAAAATGGTAACATTTGGTATTAAGTGAAGATTAGGGCTAAAAACTAAAAATTTGGTATGGGAATCAAGGTTGAACAGCAAGTTGTGTCCCTTTTATTGGTAGGTTTGTGATAAAGGGGTGCTTTTGGAAATGTTTACTTCACGAAGTGCACGAAAAATACAAAATAGTACAATATTTGGTATTGTATGAACATATAGTGATTAAAATCTAAATCTAAAAAGTACTAAATGGTACAAAATTTGGCATTTGGGTAAGGTATTGTGTTGGAAGTCTTAAATCTGGCATTAGTGAGCGAAAAGTACTAAATAGTACTATATTTACTACAATTTGGTAATGGGTGAACAGATAGTGCTTGAAATCTGAAATTTGGTGTTAGGGTCGCTGGTCATATGTAGCCTGGACACATGGAGGTATAGTACTGTATTTGGCAGATACAATTCTGAAATTTGGTATTTAGTTACTGATGGTATTCAGAATTAAGATATAATGGTTGTTTCAGAAATGCGTCCTTTATTTCTTTTGGTATTGGGTGAAGGGATTGATTGATTGATATTCCGATAACTATTGGTGTCTAGGATTGAGATATGGAACGGTTTTGAGATCTATATTTGTATGAAAAGTACTAAATTTAGTATTTGAGTGAAGGGATAGAATTGGAATCCCCAAATTTGGTATTGAGGTTTCTGGTGGTATCTGGAATTGAAATATAAAAGTAGTTTTGGAGATGTGTACCATAATTGTACAAAAATACAGAATTCAGTATTAAGTGAAGGAATTGAGGTGAAATCCTGAATTTTGATACGGATGTCACTGTTGATGTCTGTGGCTATGAGAATTGGTAATTGATATTGACGTCACTTTTGATTTCTAGGGTTTACATATGGAGACTTTGAAATAGGTTTGGACAGAAAAATTGGATGTGGGTAAACTTTAAAAGGAAAGATTTCCAAGAGGACTTCTTGGTGCAAAAGGTAAACATATTCCTATTATTTTTTCCGAAAAAAGGACAAGTAAAAAAAACTACAAGTGTAGCCGGAACGAACTTTGAATATCCTCCACCATTTGGATACAATTTGTCTATCTTCAAAAAAATCCGTTATAAGTTCTGTTAAAATCTTCAAAATACCGAATGTATCCGTTATACCAAAACATGCTCCTGCACAGACAATTTTCTGTCATAGGCTGTAGTATCCATTACGAAATTCAAATACCAAATTTGAAACAATTCCGGTTAATAACGTCGCTAAAATCATCAAAATACCGAAAATAGGGAGGTACCATTATATGGGGTCTATACCAAAACATGGACCTACATGACCCATTTTCAATATCAAAAGTCCTGCAGACATAATATACATTTGAGTAAAAGTTTATCAACCTACTTCATTTCGTTCGGAAGCTAGAGAGATTTCCACAGATGGACAGACGGAGGACTTCGCTAAATCGACATAGAATTTTATGCTGATAAAGAATATAAATACTTTGTGGGAATATTCAGAAATGTTACAAATGTTATGTTAAAAACTTGAATAATAATAACAAAACCTTGAAAGTCTCAAGTCTCAGTACGATGTATGAAGCTTTGATTCAAAAAAAATGTCAAACTGAGCAAATTGTGGCTTGAAGGTATGAACGGGTACTTGCTAGTACAAAAAGAAGATGTCGTTTAAATTTACAAAAAATATGAGATTGTATGAAAAGGAACGTGAAGCATATACCAATCTACCTTGATCTTTGCATAACTAAAAAAATATTTTAATCACTTAGTTGAAGAAATGTTTGCCAACCCTAGTAGCATGCCACTCCCACTTTATTTCAATTAAAAAATTCAACTTCCAAATTTAATTAAGCCACAACAAACGCGTATGAAATAAAAGTCTTCTCAAATTTATAAAACACACAGTGAATTATGCCTATAAAATAATTTCTATGTGCGCCATGGTCTAATGGAATTAGCAAACACCCTGTTGGTCATTGTATCACCACACAGCACGTGGAGGTTTTATTCGCTCCAAAGATCATCACACTTTGCCCAAATACGCCAATGCTAAAAGGGGGAATATATGAGCATTCTTCAAAAGAGCGAAGGAAAAAAATTTTCAGAATTTATAATCACGTCGCCTTAATGCTTGGCTGAACAAAAGACAATATTACAAAACCCCGAGAAGAAGAAATAAATAAAGTCCAGACTTAGGTTAAACAAAACAAAAAAAAAATCGACGGCTTACGTAGATATTTAAAATTCAATATTATAAAATAGAAACAATAATTGCATTGCACACATTACATGCACAAAATGGAAAATGGAAACTTTGTGGATTTATGAAGGCAATATATGAGCAACACAGCGCACTTCAAATTAGACGTTAGGCAATCATGGTATAATTTTCCATTGCCTGTGTCTTTCTCTCCCGTTGAACTTTGCCAGCTATTAGAATATATATTTTTTTGTTTGCGTAATATTTATTTTCAATATACGTAAAATATCATAACCAAAACCAAAAGTAAGTAGTTTCCATTATTTCAGATTTTTTTCTACATAAAATTCACTTTGTTGTTATTGTGTCTAATTGTATTTAATTAACACAGTGGTGTTAAACCGGACCCATGTACTTTTCTAATAATTTCCAACACTTGGCCGTCATTTGCTTGAATTCAATTAGAAAGATAGGGAGATATCACTCCTTATCTTCCTCGCCCGTTTAAAAAAAAAAAAGTAAACAACTTGCAAAGTTTCATTGCCACGCCTTTTCGAAATCAGAATCAAAAAAACAAAAACTCAACATGATATTTTGTAATAATTTAAGCAACAACGACAACAAAACTAATGCATGCATGGATGATACTATTTGGCTGGTATTTGCAGCAGAGACTGTCTTGGATAAAACCTAAACATATTGTCCATATGTACGTACCCCTCTCCCCAATCGTTAGGGGTGTGAGTATGGTTTTTTTGATATTTATTTTTGTTTATAAAAATCACACATTTGTAGGGCTCAAAGGTTATTGATCGTGTACACACAAACATTTGAAGGTCATTGGAGGTTTTGTCAAATCCATTCATTGATGACTTGATTGATTTGTTAATTTGATATTCACACATTTTTTAATGTGTTGTTTTATTTGTTGGTAAATGATTGCCAAATGGTCACCAACACTTTAACAGCCGCTCGGTCAGTGGTGGTTAATTGCAAAACGGTACGATAAAACCCATAAAATTGCAATGAATTTTTTAATAGGCATGTTACGAATTGTTATTCAGTGTAGCCGGCAAAAGTTTCCACGCAAAAAATGCTAATGGGCTTGGGAATTCATTTCTTTCGATACATATTCACAAAGAGGGAGATATTGAAAGAAAGAAAACAAAAAACAAATATGAAATACTCCAGGAAAAAGGGGTGCGTAACAGGTCTTTGGCAGGATCACCATGGAAAGTGTTCTTAAGTTCAATATTTAATTTGGAAATGTCGAATTCTTTGGAAATGCCATAACAAAAAGTCCGCCGAGCCGATATGAAATTGTGATGTGAAACAAACATATCATATGAGTCTCAAGTATTACTTAATTATATGAGAAATAATTCGATCTGGGCGTTTTCATAAGCCAGAGACTTTTTACAAGATGATGACTTATATTGCCAATTTTACGCAAGGAGATTTCTGCCCACTAAAAACTGTAAATGTCTAAAATAACAAATAAAAAAGCTGTGAATACCCTCCACCATTTGGAACGAATTTGGCAATTTTCAAAAAAAAAAAATCCGTTAAAAATTCTGTTAAAATCTTAAAAATACCGAATATAGCCGTTATATTAGGGTCTATACGACGACGTCACAAGCCATTACAATATTCAAATGCGAAAAAAAATCGGTGAACAATGTCGCTAAAGTCATCAAAATACCGAATATCAGGAGGTACCGTTATATGGGGGCTATACGAAGACATGAACCTGCACAGACAATTTTCTGTCATAGGTTGTATTACGAACTTCAAATACTAAATTCCAAACAATTCCGGTAAAAAATGTCTATAAAATCATCAAAATACGGAATATCGGGGGGTACCGTTATGTGGTGGTACGAAGACGTGGACCTGCACAGACAATTTTCTGTCATAGGCTGTAGTTTCCATTACGAACTTCAAATAACAAATTTGAAACAATTCCGGGGAATAATGTCGCTAAAATTATCAAAATACCGAATATCGGGAGGTGTCGTTATATGGGGGCTATACGAAGGTGTGGACCTGCGCAGACAATTTTTCGTCATATCCTATAGTATCCATTATGAACTTCAAATACCAAATTTCAAACATTTCCAGGACCTACATGGTTCATTGTCAATACCAAATACCTGCATACATAATATACATTTGAGCAAAATTTTATCAACCTACTTCATTTCGTTCGGAAGCTAGAGTGATTTCCATAGACGTCCGTCTGTCCGGCAGACGGTCATCGCTAATTAATTTTATTTATCATTTTTTGTTTTACTCACCATGCATGCTCCACGATTGCTATTGCCATTGGCATAGACACCATTGCCATTGGCAGTCGCTTTGCCATTTGTGAGGTATTCTTTTTCTGACGCGCTAGCATGGCCATTGGCCGCTTTAACTTTTTGCGCAGCGCGGGTATATTTGGTTTTGTAGAAATCTGAGAACAAAAATAGGAACATAACGCCATGCAAACCGATCCAGACCATGAATCCTTTGGGATAATCACATTCGCGGAACAACAATTGGAATTGATGGGTGAAGATAGCAACAAATTGTACCTGGAGAACAGTAAAACAAATTAATATAAATCTCACGTTTACAATTTCGATAGCTTACCATTTGGAAAGTGGTCAAATACTTCTTCCACCAAATGTACTTTTGATATTTGGGACCCATGGCAGCGATCATATAATAGAAATACATAACAATATGTACAAAGGAGTTCAATAAGGCAAAGAAGGTACTATGGCCGCCAGGGGCAAACTTCAGACCCATCCACACGGAGAAGGGCATACAGCCGTGATGGATGACATGCAGCGTCGATACATGCTGTGTCTTCTTGCGCAAAATGAAGAACAGTGTATCGAAGAATTCGGTGAATTTCGAAATGTAATACCACCAGCAAATGTTTGCCATCTGAAAATTAAAAAAAATGGAAAAATTATTAATTGGATTAAATTGAAAATAAATGAGTCGAAACTTTAAGTTTTGCCTGTTGGGACGAAGATAATGTTTTCTGATGTTATTTGTTTTGTCTCTTCTAAATTTGTAAACTATTCAGTAAAAATGTAAAGTCAATATAACAGTTATATTTAGTAGGGAAGGTTTTGAAATACCTCACAATCAAAAGAAATATTTTAATGGAATTTATTGTCTAAAAATTAAGTTCGATTTGTTTCTCATTTATATTCCGAAGCATTTGGTCAATATTGAGCAATTCGTATCTGACCTAAGACTGATAAAAATATTACAACGGCCATATTTGGAGTATATCGACTACTTCCTATACTTTATATGAGATATGTGCAAATGTGGAAATATGCATAAGTTAATAAAAATATTGGGAATATTGGGCCAAAGAGAACTAGGGTCTAAAACCATTATTTCGATGAGGCACGTTTTTGCCTTATCAAATGATAAATACCCTATCTAGCCATATAGATGTGGGTATAAAAATAGCTATATCAACTTTAGAGATGGAAACGAAAATGAATAACTAATTGCTATTACAAATTTTACAAATGGGCCAAATTCTCGCATTTCCACTGGTAAACGTGACTTATACCAGGTTTTCATCCAATAAAAATTCACAAACAGCCCGATTATTTACAAAATAAAATATTACGATATTTCCATTTGAATCCAATTCCAATTTATATTTCTGATAATAAAATTAAAAAGACTTTCTACTACGGACATCTGTTGCGATTTAGGGAACAAAATATGCTAAAAAATTCTTTGAAGTTTATTGGCCTTTACATACAATACTATCGATTAACAATGTAAAAATAGAATCTAATTAATTATGTACACAGAATGTGGATATAAATATGGTTACAAGATATTTCAATAATTTATGATGATTTTCTTTTACATAAAACTACCAAATACAAGATATTGGCTGTAAAACTGTCTCAAAGCTGGTTTTGAACAATATTTGAACTATGAACCCATTTTGGTCTCTCTCTCTCTTTTTAATTCTAATTACAGAAATAAAAATATTTATAAACTGGCTGTCCTCAATTTTAAGAGGAAAGAGTGACAGAACCAGAACTGAAATGCGTCGCCCTTAATGTCTTATGCATTTGGATTTTATGTTAGCTTTTATGGCTCATAATTTAAAAATGATAGGGTTTGAAGAAGATTTTGACTAAAATGGAAATACATTTGCCAATACTTACTCTCAAAGCCTTTGGACTATTGCTGTAGTCAACAGGTTGACATTTGAAATTGTAATCACCCCACCAGCCACTCATTAAATACTGTAAAATAGAAGAACAAATTACATATTAAAATATAAATTATTATGATTTATTGAAGTAAGTTCGTCTTACCTCGTAGAATATCCACGCACTGAACACGGTCTGGAATAGATTATACCAAACCAATACATTTCTTAAATCCAAGGCCTTTCGTTTGGCCATTAACTTGGGTCCTAATGATTTACTAAAATAAGCGTAAAAGACACACAGCAAAAATGTGGGTACAGGTGAGGCCATCATGGGCCAACCATTTACACGAGGATCTGCAAAAGAAGAGATTTAACAAATTAATTTGGAATTTTAAAAATTAAAAAAGTTAAAATATAGTGGTAGTGAAATAACTAACTGAGAATCAATACCCATACGAAATGGCTGAAGCTAGAATTTTGAAATTTTGCACGACAGTGCGTCTTGGTGCGTAGGGGTACGTTAAGCTGGGTTTTAGGTTTGGACTAAAAGGGTATGAAAAGTACTAAAATTTATTAAGAATTATATACTTTGCATTGGACAAAAGAAATGATCTATAATTCTGAAATTTGGATTGAGAGTCACTGATGAAGTGCATGATAGATGTAGAGTTTTTGGAAATTCGAACTTTAAAGGATACGAAAATTTCTAAAATAGTACTAAATATCTATTTGGTATTACGTGAGCGGATAGAATTAAAAACTTGAAATCTGGTATGAGAATTGGAAGTGTGTATGTGTGGTCTTGGTTGAGGGATAGAGATAATATTCTGAAATTTGATATTTAGATAATTGACTGTGTCTGTGTACAAGATTTGGAGGGGACGAAGGGATAGGGCTGAAATTCTCAAATTTGATATTGAGGTCTCTGTTGGTATCTGTGTTCGAGATTTAACGGTATTTTGAAAATGTGTCCAATTTTTTAAGGAAAAGTACTAAGTGGTACTAAATTGGGTGTTGGGGGAAGGGATGGCATAATTCTGAAGTTTCGATATCTACATTACAGATGATATCTGTGTTCGACATTTGGCAATGCTTTGGAACTACGTGCTATACTTGAACGAAAAGTACTAAATGGTACTAAATTTGATATTGGGTGAAGGGATAGGGTTGTCATCCTCAAATTTGATATTGAGGTCTGTGTTGGTATCTGGAATTGAGATATTGAGTAGGTTTTGGAAATTTGTACTATAATTGCACGAAAAGTATTAAGTGGTACTAAATTGAGTGTTGGATGAAGGAAAGGTGCTGTAATCCTGAAATTTGATATTTAGATTATTGATGATATATGTGTTCGAGATTTAGCGGTGGTTTGGAAATGCGTTCTATATTTGTATGAAAAGTACTAAATGGTACTAAATTTTGTATTGGATGAAGGAATAGGGCTGAAATCCTCAAATTGGATATTGAGGTCTCTGTGGGTATCTCGATTTGAGATATGGAAGTGGTTTTGGAAATGTGTACCATAATTGGACGAAAAGTACTAAATTGGGATTTGAGTGGAGGAATGGAGCTGTAATTCTGAAATTTGATATTTAGGTTATTGATGATGTCTGTGTTCGAGATTTGGCGGTGGTTTGGGAATACGTCCTATATTTGTATGAAAAGTACTAAATGGTACTAAAATTGGTATTGGGTAAAGGGATATTGCTTGAATCCTCAAAATTGATATTGAGGTCTGTGTTGGTATCTGGAATTGAGATATAGAGTAGGTTTTGGAAATTTGTACTATAATTGGACGAAAAGTACTAAGTGGTACTAAATTGGGTGTTGGGTGAAGGGATGGAGCTGTAATTCTGAAATTTGATATTGCGGTTATTCATGATATCTGCATTCGAGATTTAGCGGTGGTTTTGAAAATGTGTACCATACTTGCACGAAAAGTACTAAATGGTACTAAACTGGGTGTTGGTTGAAAGGATGGAGCTGTAATTCTGAAATTTGATATTTAGGTCACTGACGATGTCTGTGTTCGAAATTTGGCGATGGTTTGGAAATGCCATGGCTTCTAGGATTTACATATGTAGCCGTTGAAATAGTTTTGGATGTCGGTCCATTGTGCAATAATTTTACTAATATCCTCCTCGGTTATCTTCAAAGTGAAAGGTTTTAAAGATTTTTTGGTGTAGAATGAGACATTAAAATTTATGCCTGACGTTGTTTTAAATAAGACATTAATTATTTTAAAATTCTTGCAACTTTCTAAAAGTTCAATAATACTAGAATTAAAATTAGTAGTGTCAGGTACAAAAGACACAGTGACCTTGTTCAACTGCATAATAAAAAATGATGCTTAATTAGCCTATATTTCAATACTATTAATAATTTTTATTTCACAAAAATAGCAATAGCAATTCTAGTTTTTTAAATTAAGTTGCAAATAATAAACAAGTTTGTATACCTTTATTTTCAAGATCAAGATTTCAAATTGGAATTTTTACCGAAATACTTGACTAACGGGAATGTATTGATGGCACTAAAATTGTTTAATATTTCAATGTTATAAAATAAATTTATTGGAAAAATTAAAGACTTGGAATAGAATAGTTCAAGACTATAAAGACAGCTGCTTTTTAGTGCAAATGCCAATAAACACATTTAAAAAAAAAATAGTGAAATGAATTAATTACTTTAGAAATGTTTTTCGAAGTCAATAAGAAAACTTGTCATTGGAATTGCCTGGCTGCGGGAAAGTGAAAGACCAAAAGTAAAAATAATAAAATGCGTCATTTGAATAAATTAATTATTTTAATAAAAATGATTGCGAGTCAATGACAAAAATCCATTTTGCATAAGAAATCAGTGCATTGATCCATATATGTATGTGGGATAAGAATCAATAAAAAAAGTAACGAAGCAGGAAGAAACAAAATTTCCAGAACTAGGCAAACCAGAATATTATCTAGGAGACATTTGAGCACACGTTTTATTGGACAGGCCCCTAAAATCGATATTTTAATAGGATTTTTATGGTTTTTGATTTATTTGCAAAAAAAACATTGTTGCATTAAGGCCCGAAAATATATTGAAATAAAGAAATAATTTTCACTTTGTTTTCTAATCACCAGAATAGCTGATTATAGTCCACGACTGCTAATTAAAATTTACGATCTGTCCGATATTAAACGTGTAAGCATTATTTCTAAAAAAAAAAACAAAATTTATCACCATTGGGGGGCATTAAATTTCTACCAATGGTCATTTTTATGATGGCCAGATCAAAAATAAAATAACTTCGATAATATTACGTAAAAAGTCAAGTTGTTTATATGAGTAATCAATGGCCACACTAAAAGGTTGATCTTTAACCCATCATCATATCGCATAAACAAAGGTTTGATATGTTTTGTTATCTGTAAACTGAAGTGTTGAGTGAGGGGGCTGACTCATTGGCGAAAACATGAAAAAATCCTGAGGCTAAACACCTAACTACATAATCTTAATATTTAATCAGCAAAGAAGGTGTAGAGCTTTATATAAAAAATTACAAACCGGATGAACAATATATAAGGGAGCTATAGCTATATCTGAACCGATTTCCACCAAATTTGACATACTTGTTTCTAGGCTTAATTTGGTCGTAAGTGCCATCCATCATCACATTTGGCCTAATATTACACGTTTAGTGAACAAATCGGACGAAGATCTATATGGGAGCTATACCTAAATCTGAACCGATCTCGATAAAATTTGGTAAAGGTATTTCTATACTGTATTTGTAATATTTCCCCAAATATCGTTGTTACAGAGTGCATATTACGACTGCCGAGGACAAAAATAACAAATAGGATGAACAAAATATATGGGAGCTATAGCTATATCTGAACTGATTTGGATCAAATATGGCATATTTATTTACAGGCTTAATTTATTCGTATATGCTGATATCACACGTTTGGAGCACAATAAAACGGCAAATCGGACGAAGATAAATATATGAGAGCTATATCTAAACATTGACCGATTATCTCTAATTTCAATATTGTAAACTTTCATCTTGATCGGGTAAGAAATGCGACCTGTACTTTGTTTACAAAAATACATGGACAGACGGACGGACATGCACAAATGGACTCAGAATGTGATTCTATGCAGATCATCGAAAGGAACTATGGGTCTATCTCGTTCCCTTTTACTCGTTACAAACAAGTGCACAAAGGCATAATACCCTGACCACCTTATGGTGTAGGATATAAAAACAGGAACAGGATAACGTGTAATATTTAAAAACTGGTCACGACAGAGCATCTGAGAGACTGACAACACTTAAGCTAAAATGACCTGGATGAAATCAATGAGCTCTCCTTTTGAGGGGATACAAGTTTAGTCTCTTATTTCTGGAATTTATCCTAGAAGGGTAGAACAACTAGAAAGGTAGAACAAAGCATACTTTTAGGCAATTTTTTTAATCGATATAAACGGGATAAAAAATCTAAAATCTCGTGCAAAAATGTAAAATTTAATTCTAGCGCAATATTTTAGTTGTAAGGAATAAATAAAAACCTAAGTTCTGGTGGGCCGAACCCTCAATATCCTCACTATTTGGAAAGAATTCGCAAAATTTGGAAAAAAAAATTAGTTTAAAAATTACGCAAAAATTTAAAAAAAATTAGAATATAAGGTCTTACAGTTAAATGGGGCTATAAGAAAATGTGGATCTGTATAATCGATTATCTGCCTATTAGGAACTCCAAATTTCAAGTGAATATGTACAGAAAATATTTTACCGTGGGAAGTAATACCCATTGGAGACTCCAACTTTCGAATTTGAGATAATTATTTTAAGAAAATGTAGCTAAGATCGTCAAAATACCAAATGGACAAGGACAATTTTCTGGCAGTGGAGGTCCATGTCAGTCCATTACGAACTCCAAATGCCAAATTTAAATCCGATGAAAGCTGTGACACAAATTATTAATCAAATCATCAGGAGGTGCAGCTATATAGGCTCTATACTAAAACTTGAACCAATATGTACAGTTCTCTGCAAGTATGTTTCCTCCATCCTGGAAACACATATTGCCAACTTACAGCAAATTCGGTGTGACTAAGAACCCAAAAAAAACCTTAAGTCTGCCGTTACAGTCATATGGGGCCTATACGTAAAGATGGAACTATATAGCCCATTTTCAATAGCAAAAGTCCTATAGACCAAAGACACATCTGGCCAAAATTTTGTTTTTTTGGTTATTTATTTCGTTCGAAAGCTTAAGAAGCGGGATCTATATAAAACCCAGTGCGGAAAAATTAAAATTGTCGAGCGGGGCCGTTGTATATGCCAAATTCCACTTTGTGCACAATAAATCGTAAATCGGACGAAGATTTACATGTGATCAATATCTAAATTTTGACCGATTATCTTCAATTTAAGTAGAGTTCGTCCTTGGTTATTAAACATTGAATTAGAGTCATATATAAAGTGATTTTTTCACATTTTATATATTGTATTTTTATAGCATACTTTGAGGAGCTCCCGACAATTTGTAAATTTAAGAGTAATGTCTTTCTTTCCATTATTTTCATAATGTCAAGCGTTTTTTTAATTAACCATTCTGGGGTGCGTCTAAAAGTATGCTATAAAAATGTCAGATTTAATGGTGGGAAAAGTCACTTTACATATGACCCTAACATCATGTGTAGTAGGGCTACGGAATATCCACAAATATATTTTATATATCAATACATCTTCCACCTTGAGTGCCAACTTTTAATACTTGGCCCCACAAATATATATAAAGATAATTAGCATACTTTCAGGCGATAAAAAAATATTAGATCTCACAAAAAATATAAATCAAATTACTACTTATGTCTACAAGATCCTAAAAGAGTTAGGGAAATGTTTAACAGTAGGGCAAAAAAATATTTCTTCACTTAGGGTTTACTTACCACTTTTGTTGTCCATGAGATCCCTGTACCAGTCATATATATCATGTACAATTGCGAGAGCCATTTTTAATTTGTTTCAATAAAAACTGCAATGAAAAGAGAGAAAAAAAAACAATTAATAATATTATGTAAATGTAGGTATAGCCTAAATTCTTAGCAGTAATTCAAATAAGTATAAGTAGGAAACCAGGAAAACTTCAAAAAGAATGAAGCTCGGCAGGCACGGTGTATATTTTGTCTGTAAGGACTGCAGTTTTAGGCAATTGCAGTTTTAGGAATTGATTACTAGCTGCCGCATAAATTTTGGACATTTTGATGATATTTCGGAAAAGGTCAATGTTAATTTGCAATCCTCAATTGAATATTATTTGTCAAAATGGATTTATTTTAGTATTCGTTTTTGTACACATTACTTAGAACTATGATGGTTTGAAGGGTGGACGAACAATGTGCCTGTACTCGATTTAATACTCTTTGAGATTGAGCATATTTTTTGACAGTGAAGAAAAAAATAGAAACTTCGATCCTTCTTTGTTTCATTCTTTTTCGTCTTTGTTATTTGTTTCTTTTTTATTACATATTTTTATTTAAATATATTTTTGTTTTGAATCTGGCTGTGTTGAGTGAGTAGTACAAAGGTTATTGAGCAAAAAAACAGGAATCCACTTAAAAAAAAACAACCCATGAAAACGTTACTGCCAATAATATGACGTAGTTGTGTACGTTAATTTGATTCAACAGCAATCATTTAAATTTAATAAAAATAAAAACTGTTTCTTTTTACCAATAATTATAGCTAGCAACAATAACAATACCACACAGCACAAGAGCAATAAACAAAAATCCACATAAAATTTCCATGAAATTAAACGAAAGCCAAGGCTTTGACTTGTCAACAAAACAAAAATAAAAATTATTCCACATCATTTTGCATTAAAATAATGGAGGGGGAGCTCCAGAACAATCCAAGGAAATATTCCACTAATTACTGGTTTTTCGTAAGGATATTCAAAAAACAACAACTACAACAAAGAATCATGGCAAAATTAAAGGCTAGAAAATGTTGGGAGTCAATAATGACGATGAGCGGCATAATTGGTATTATTATGAGTGTGTGGTGTGGAGTAACGTGTTTATTTCGAATGGGGAATTTCCACACACACACACACACACACACACACACACACACAATTGCAAAATATAAGTGAACTAGGATTAAGGACAGCTACTTTTGAGAAAATACAATGCGGAAGCAGTTAACATATAAAGATTTCTTAGGAACAAAAAATTTTTCATATTTAAAGGCCTATTTTTTGATAGTCGTGCTGGAAATATAAAGGGCATTGGACGACTGGATGAAGATATATTTATATAAGTTATATGTATGATTTACAACAACAAAGACCAGGTTGTTGTTGTAAAAAATAAATTGTGAATAAAAAATGTCATTTAAAGAAGGTCCTCCACGATCTGTGTCGGAATTCAACCGAGTGGTAAAATGTTGCATTTTTAGTTTTGCTTTACATTTTTACAACGAATTGAATACTAAAGTTAAAAAATACCAGTCGGTTTTTGTCGACGGATGTATACCCTCAGCTATTGTCCGTTTATTTAAGCATATTTTGGCATCCGTACGTATTATTCAACGTAATATTCCGAAGGAGTTGGCCAAAATTATGCTATTCTTCTCTGATATATGTGCCATATTTAGACTATATCGGCTATTTAGTGTTAAAATCTGCGTGAGGTGCCAGATATAGTGGATCAAGGTATTCCACATCTCTAGTATTAATAGAAATATTGGAACTTGCAAAATGTAAGGAAAATCGAACCTTTATTTTCAATTTTATGTGAAATCATAATTTTAACTTTTTGAGGGGGAGGAGATATTAGAGGGAGGGGGAGGAGGTATCAGAGGGAGTGAGCAGAAAAATGCATTCACAGCCCATCTCTTGTTGAGGGAAATATTAAGATATACCAGATTTCAATGGAGTCGCTGATTTGTTTCGCAAGTTATGAGAGATTTAAGTATTTGAAATTGTTGCCTAGGGGAAGGTCGATATCTATCATCTTCACACCATATCTTGTGTTAGTAGAAATATTGAGATGTATGAAGTTTGAAAAGAATCAGACGCTTATTTCACATTTTTAGAGCGTTTTGTTGTTAAAATTTTGATCACTCTGTGTGGGGAGGTACCAGAAGCAGTAGATCGATGTATCTCATCTTCGCACCAGATCTTGTGTTAGTAGAAATATTGGGATGTGTGAAATTTGAAGAGAGTTGTTTCACATTTTATGAGAGATATAATTATTCAAAATGTTGCCCCCTTGTGGGGGAGGTACCAGAAGAAATGGTCCGATCTCTATCATATTTACAACAGATCTTTTGTTGATGGAAATATTGAGATTTACTAAGTCTGAATAAAATCAAATGTTAATTTCGCGTTTTATTAGCTCCAGGGATATTCAAAATTTTGACCCTTTGTGGGGGAGGTACAAGAAGGAAGGAATGGAAGAATATATCCCATTTTCACATCACACCTTGGGTTAATAAAAATATTGTGATGTGTGCAATTTGAAGAGAATCGAATGTTTATTTCGGATTTTATGGCCGTTTTGGTTATTCAAAATTTTAACCCTTTGTGGGGGAGGTACCAGAAGAAATGGTCCGATCTCTACCATCTTTATAACAGATCTTGTGTTAATGGAAATATTGAGATGTACAAGTTTGAATGGGATCGGATGTTAATTTCGCGTTTTATGAGCTTCATGAATATTAAAAATGTTGACCATTTGTAGGGGAGGTACAAGAAGGAGTGGTCCGACATATTCCATCTTCGCACCAGATCTTGGGTTAGTAAAAATATTGTGATGATGATGGAGAGAATCGGATGCTTACTTCTCATTTTATAAGAGTTATAATTATTCTAAATGTTGACCCTTTGCGTGGGAGGCACATGTTGGAGTGGACCGATATTATCAATTTTGGCACCTCACCTAGAACTGAAGCAAATATTACTATTTGCAAAATTAAAGCAAAATTAGATTATTGCTTCCCTTTCTGTGCAGATTTTTTTACGTTTTTTGTTTATTTTTTTAATTTGATCTTTTGTGGGGGAGGTACCACCGACCGATATATTCCGATATACTCCTAATAAAATGATTGGGATTTGTGAAGTTTAAAGACAATCGGACTCTTACATCACAATTTTATAAGATTTATAATTATTTAAAATGTTGACCCTTTGTGAGGGAGATACTTAATGGAGTGGACCGATATTGCCCATTTTCGCACCTGACCCAGCACTGATGCAAATATTAGAATTTGCAAAGTTGGAGTAGTAAAATATTTTTATTTTTTTTTAGAAAATTTCGCCCTTTGTGCGGGAAGGTACAAGAAGGAGTGGACCGAAATTGCCCATTTCCGAACTCGATCTAAGTTTGACAATTATTTCGATGAGACGCGTTTTGGCGGTTTCAAATGATATATACCCTCTCTAGCCATATGGCTGAAGGTATAAAAATGTGGAAAAACTAATTTTACTTGACTTGAGCTCAACTAAATAGTTTTCGAACTGTGTGCCTATTAATTAACCTTCATAATACCCCATTTTTCGTGGCACCTCCTGAAAATATGGCTCAAAATGTGCCACAAAAAATAATGGTTTTAGATGCTGTGTTGATGGGGTAGATCTACTCATGTCGGTCTATCTGCTTGGTAGGAGCGTAAGATAATTTTTCAAACCTCGTTTTTTTTGTCAAACTTTGGATTTATCGGAGCACTCCTTCAGATTTTGTAGAGGAACTAAAAATTCAAAATTGTTAAAAAAAATATTATAAAACTCATATGAGGCCTAAGGATTATTCAATCCGGTACCTCTATCCTACTAGAAAATCTTTCACAAAGAGGGGAGATCTTCAATAACAAGTGAAGAGTAAAGAGAGAATATGTCTCTTTATCTTGCCAACAAAAGGTAAACACTTCGAATAACAGCCCTCCATAAAGATCAAATTTGTGCCCGATTTTCTTTCAATTTGTCATGTCTCATTATTTTTATTGTAATTTTAAATTTTTTTTGGTTTAAATTTTTTTGAAGGAATTCAAGACCAGTTTTTTTAAATATTTATTTTTTTCTTAAAAAGAACGGCTCGGTCATGTGTACTTTGAGTAATATGCATAGATGTTCCAATACAAAAAAAAAAAAAAAAAATATGCCAAATAATTTATTTAATAATCCGCCAATAAAGACAAACCACAATAATTTTAACATCAATTTGCTATAATGGATTCAAATGTATTGTTTTAATGAATACAAATGGTTATAACAAAAAGCGTTTACTTCTTCACAATTCACAACAACAACAACAAAAATCTACACTTATTTTGTCAATTCTTCGGCTATGATTTGTGGTGGTTGTCAATTTGTACAAAAAAATTCTAAATTGACCGCTCCATAGGCTGGCTGGCTGAATAGCTGGCAGCTTGGCTCATTATGCCTGACAGGTACCAATTAAGATCCTCTTTTCTATAGATCTAGTCTAAAAACGTGCTAAAAATTTGTCAAAATATATTATGTGTGTAAATCTGGAGGAGATCATTGACAGTGGCCATTAGAACTGTTAAAATTTAGATTTATGAGACGGGTTTTTATTACATGATCAGGCTGGATGTTTGACAAAAAAAAATCAAGTACTTAATTAAAAAGCCCAAACACGTGTTTGTTTATTCCGCACATGTCAGTCAGATCTATAATATGTACATCTATATGAAATTAGTGTCCATAAATCCCCTGCCAATGTACATATTCTAGATTCGAAAATCGTAATTGCTTCTTTAGATTTTTAAGCAATTGTTTTTTTTTTTTTTTGTAATTTATATGGTGCCTTTGAAAACAGAATTTCGACACAATATAAGGTATAGGCATAAGTTATTTATAAAATATGTCTTCGATACGTAGGAATGTCAATCATGTATCCAGTATTTGATGGACAGTACAACATGTGACATTATGGCATGACCGACATAACATGACATAGAGCCATGTTATACAAAATGGTTCGGTATCAGGTGTGATAAAAGAATAATTTAAGCATAATTTTGTTGCTCTCCTGAAGCGTTGATTTTTCCTTTTCAAAATTCTCCCATTCTTCCCAGTCACTGTTTGGTGTGGATTTTGGTACAGAGGCATAATTGGACCACTTTCTTCGAAAGTTGTGACCGTTTCGTTATCGTTATTGTTCACAAAAATTGAAGAGTAGAACATTGCCTCATACCCGAAGCTACACTCGATTTTTTTAAAAAAAAAAGTTATATGCCGGACCTCACATATAAAACTGAATGTGTTACATACATTTGCAGCCTCTTAAAACAACTTTGTTTTCGCCAAGGGCCGGGAAAGATTGGTGTTGGAATAGAACAAAGTTCTCAAAATTCAATTTTGTTTATTTGCCGGAATATATTTTTTCGTCAATAATTTCACTTCGATTATATTGCAGAGGGAAATCTGTGAACTTCTCCACCAAAAGTCAGTTTTTTGTTCGGACGTAAGTGTGTACGTTATGAGATCATTTTGAGTAAAATATGACGGTTTCATTGGAATGATTATTTCATATTAAAGAGGTTTTTAAAAAATCAGTTCAAGGTATAAAAGTTGGCAAAGTAGACCTACCAACATAGACAATTTTCTTCTAGGACTCGAAGTACTCAGAATGAACTCCTTGTGTGGGTTTTCTGACAATTCCATTAAATAATGCCGAATATCGGGATCTACCGTTATAGGGAGGATATATGATATCGTGGGCCTATGTAGACAATTATCTCCCAGGAGGTGAAGGAGGAGAAGGAACTCCTTGTGTGAATTTTTAGACAATTTCATTGAAAAATTTGGCTACAATCATCAAAATAGCGAATATCGGGATGTATCGTTATATGGGGGCTATACGAAGGCGTGGACCTGCATAGACAATTTTCCGTCATAGGTTCCTGGTCAGGAGCAATATTTAGATATAGCAAGTTGTATAAAATCGCCGACTTGTTTCGCAAGTTATGACAGATATAGGTATTGGAAATTGTGATCCTTCGTGGGTGAGGTACCAGAAGGGTTTGGCAGATATATATCATCTTCACAACAGATCTTTCGTTAGCAAAAATATTTGGGTTTGTGAAATTTGAAGAGAGTTCAATGCTTATTTCGACTTCTTTGAGGGTTTTGTGTGTAAAATATTGAACCCCATGTGGGGTGGTACCAGAATAAATTGTCCGATCTCTACCATCTTTATAGCAGATCTTATGTTTATGGAAATATTGAAATGTGCCAGATCTAAATGGAATCGAATGTTAATTTCGCGTTTTTTGAGCTTCATGGATATTAAAATTATGACCCCTTGTGGGGGAGGTACCCGAAGGAGTATATTCCATTTTCACACCAGACCTTGTGAAAAGATATTGTAATGTGTGAAATTTGAAGAGAGCCAGACGCTTATTTCGGATTTCATGATCGTTTTAGCTATTTAAAACTTTGACCCTTATGTTGGGGAGATACCAGAAGGAATGGTCCCTGGATGGAGTAAACCCATATTGTCTATTTTCGTACCCGACCTAGCACTGATGCAAATATTAGGACTCGCAAATTTGGAGCAAAATCGGATTATCGTTTCTCGTTCTGTACAGTGAATTATTTTCCTTAAAAATTTTGACATTTTGTGTGGTAGGTACCAGAAGAAGTGGACCGATATATTCCATATTAACACCAGACTTTGGGTTAATATAAATATTGGGATGTGTGAAATTCGAAGTCAATCGCACACTTACATCACATTTTATAAGGGTCATAATTATTCAAAATGTTGACCCTTTGTTGGGGAGGTACTAGATGGAGCGAACCGATTTTGTCCATTTTCGCACCTGACCTAGCACTGATGCAAATATTAGGATTTGCAAAGTTGGAGCAAAATCGAACTATAGTTTCTCTTTCTGTGCAATAAATATATTTTTTGAAAATTTCGAACTTTTGTGGAACAAAAATATTACGATGTAGCAAGTTTGGATGAAATCGGATACTCCCTTCGAGAGTTATCGTGCGCACCAGCCAGACAGACAGACGGACGGACGGACATCGCTAGATCGACTCCAAATGTTCTGAAACGGATTTGGTCCAAAGAGACCTAGGGTCTAAAACCGTTATTTCGATTAGGCACGTTTTGACCGTATCAAATGATATATGCCCTCTGTAGCCATATGGCAGAGGGTATAAAAATCGATTTTTATTTATAATTGTCCTGCAAATTGGAGTTTTTGCACTTTAGAGGATTATAATTTCTTCTCTACAAATAGTTTTTTTCTGCAGCTATATAGACCCCATTTTTGGAAAGTAGATTTGTTGTAGTAAAAAATGAATGTCTTCAAATTATTACTGACTTAAAAGTCCAATCTCCGTGGAAAAAAAGTTTGGTCGCCAAGAGTAGTTCAGTTGGCATTTAATTTTTAATTTATAAATTGTTTAAAAAAAATTGTTTATGGAATTTAAATCTAAATTGTTTTTACTTACCAAATTTGCAGGTAGAAATATTAACAACAAAACTGATAAATCCTTATCCAAAAAATATATAGGATAATTTATTTATGTTATTTAAACCTAAAAAGAAAATAGAGAGAAGCAAATTAATAGTGTTATTTAAGATTTTTGAAATCATTGTTTGAAAAAAATTAAAAAAATATTTTTATTTCTTCAAAAGAATAAAAATTGTTATTTCGTTTATAAAAAAAATCAAATTTATAAAAATGAACAAAAAATATTTTTTTAATAATATATATTTATCATATAAGTAAAAATATCATTTATTTTTTAATTTGTCATAAAATCACACACCTTAAAAACAGTTAATACGAATTCCTTAAAAAAATACTATTTATTACAAAGGGATATTTTTCAAAGTTTATTAAATTATATTTTTATTTTTAAAAGATTATTTTTTTTATATAGTAAATTGTATATTTATTATTGCTTGTACTTGATGTTTTCATTTATTTATTTATTTAATATTTTTTTTTTTTTTTTCAGTTAATGTTTTTATTTTGTGTGTTGTTAGTTTTTTGGTCTTGTAACTTTGGCGACAGCCTTCACGTGAATGCGCTGCCGTTTGCGAAATTCGTTTAGAAAAAGGTTCGCCCGCCAAGCCAGAGTCAACTCAGTATTCGAACGCGAGCAGCAGAATTAAACACTTGAATTGAATATTACTGCTGCTTCTTCTTTTTCGCAGTATTTAATGTGAACCGATGGCCAGTCGAAAATAAACTGTCCCATAAAACTCTGGCTCACACACCCGAAACGTTGTCGCTTCGTAAAAGAATGAATGCTCATCGTTAAATATTTGCTTTACTTTTGGCTGCTGCTGCTGCTGCTACAACAACAAAAAACTGTTTCAGTCACTTGTTTTGCGGCGCTGTTTTGTTGTTGTTGGCTCTGCGTCGTTTGTTGGCTTGGCTCGACTTGGCTTGACCAAGTCAAGATCAAATGTTAAAAATGCAAAAACTGCATTAATTAATAAATAATACAAGTGTTAAGTGTTCATGTTCCATTTTGTTGTTATTGTGGTTTTGTTGTTATTTCATTAAATGGGAGAAAGAGTGAGAGAGGAAGAGGAATTATTCAGTCTTACGTTTCCTAATTACATTGAACTCTCAATGACGTAGCGGAATATTCAATAATTGAATTGTTTACGAATCTCTGTGATTTACCACCCAAGGGAGTCTTGTGTGGGAAGATTCAGTATTTTTCGATTTGAAAAATACGTCATAATTCGATATTGAGAAATGTAAATTTAATACAATTCGATATTGAGAAATGTAAATTTAATACAACGTCTTGATTCCATAAATTTCCAGCAATAATTTGGAAGCTGTATGAGCCGAAAGACCCATTAAAAGATAATTTAAAGGAACTTATTTTTACATTTCCAGTGGTAATTTTAAAAATACAATGAAGATTAACTTACTTTCATCAGTACCATGTAATATGTAACGTCGGCACAAACTCGATGGCTGTGATCTCGAGTCTTGGAGTCGCCAAACAAAGAAGAAATGAAAACAAGAAAAAAAGCTGTAAGTTCAGCCGGTCCGAACTTTGAATAACCTCCACTATTTGGAACGAATTTAGCAATTTTCAAAAAAAAAAAATAAAATCCGTTAAAAATCCCGTTGAAATCCGTTAAAAATCCCATTGAAATCCTAAAAATACTGAATGTAGCCGTTATATTAGGGTCTATACGACGACGTGGACCTGCATAGGCTTCTTTTGACATAAGCCATTAATTACAAAACTCAAATGCGAATCTTAAAAAAAATCGGTAAATAATGTAGCTAAAATCATCAAAACACCGAATATCGGGAGGTAACGTTATATGGGGGCTATACGAAGAACTGGACGTGCACAGACAATTTTCTGTCTTGACTGTAGTATGCATTACGAACTTCAAATACCAAATTTGAAACAATTCCGGTGAATAATGTCGCTAAAATCATTAAAATATCGAATATCAGGAGGTACCGTTATATGGGGGCTATATGAAGGCGTGGACCTGCACAGACAATTTTCTGTCTTAGGCTGTAATATTCATTACGAACTTCAAATACCGAATTTTAAACCTTTCCGGTGAATAATGTCGCTAAAATCATCAACATTCCGAATATCGGGAGGTACTGTTATGTAAGGGCTATACGAAGACGTGGACCTGCACGGACAATTTTTGAGCTTCAAATAACAAATTTAAAACATTTCCGGTGAATAATGTCGCTTAAATTACCAAAATACCGAAAATAGGGGTACCATTATATGCTATGCTAGGCTATACCAAAACGTGGACCTATATGGCCCATTTTCAATACCAAAAATCCTGCAGACAAAATGAATGGCAAACTTAATATACCCTCCAGAAGATTTTTAACAAAGCTCTATGTTCGTAATTCTAGAAGAGTTCGCAGTCCGCCAAAATACTTAATCTTGAAGTTATCTTTACGACTCAATTGTTGCACCAATGATTCCGGATGTAAGTCAAAGATCACTGTCAAATTTCCAAGTTCTACTCTAAATATTACCAAATACATCTCAAACTATAGGGTTAATATGGTAAAAACTATATAAGGACCTTAACAATGTTTGGCGTTTGGATCTACAAACGAGTACCATCAAATGGACCTGAAATTATCCACAACCCAAACATCCCAATACTATAATGTATGGTATAAAAATGTTCACTACAGGTTCAATTTCGATATAACTCCCATGAAATGCTAATCGCCAGCTGTTTTTATTTTGAAGGTCCAAGTAGAATTTTCAATTGATTGGGCGCCACGTTTGTATTTTGGCTTCGCAAAATATTTTGTATTCTTTTTACAAACTTTGGCAATTTTGGAGCCGATCTGAATATAGTTGTGGTTATCCAATTGTGACGGCTATGACAATATATACAAATGTTCACTACAGGACCAATTTTGCTACAACTCCCATGAAATGATAATCCCTAGCTACAGATATCTATAAGGTCCAAGTAGAATTTCTAATTGATTGAGCGCCACTTTTGTATTTTGGCTTCGGAATAATATTTTGTATTATTTTTAGAAATTTGGAACATTTGGGGCCGATTTGACTATAATTGAGGTTACCCAATTGCGACGGCCACGACAAGGCCGAAATGATAATCCGCAGTTATAGACATTTTGAAGTTTCTAGCAGTCAATTCAATTGTAAAATGATTGGGCGCCACCTTTGTATTTTGGCATCAGAAAAATATTTTGTATTCTTTTTAAAATTTGTAGCAATTTTGGAGCCGATGTAACTATAATTGAGGTTATCGCATGGTAACGTCTATGACAAGGTATAAAAATGTTCACTGCAGGTCCAATTTTGGCACAACTTCCATGAAATGATAACCCCCAGCTCTAGATATTTATAAGGTCCAAGCAGCATTTTCCAATTGATTGGGCGCCACTTTTGTATTTTGGCTTCCAAAAAATATTTCATATTATTTTTAAAAAAATGTTGGAATATTGTTCATATAAAGGCAACCCGATATTGGAATTTTGTAGCCGATTTAACTATAATATTCGAACTTATCGCCATATTTTCTAAATTGGAATTCAAAAAATTACAAATCGATTCAATTTTTTGTTATGATTTTATTTTATGTTGCTTGAAAAAAAGTACTATCTTCAATGTTTGTTTGTTCATTTAATGTGTATATTTTTTAATTTTTTTGTACAATATTGAGCTGTATTTAAAAATCGCAACTCGAAATATTCCCAATTAGAACTACTCCTCTCCTCAGTTTATGCCTTAAAATACACATGAATTTCAAATATTTTATTTGATTCACTATCGCACTTCTAAATCGAGCACATGCAAAATTCATGTCAACATGATGTATTTGAAAAAAAGCTAATAATTTAAAAAATTTAAATAAAAAATTAAATTTTTTTCAGTACAGTTTAGTGTAAATAAAGTTTGCCTTCCATTAATTTCTTTACAAAAATCGAATCATTGAATATAACTGTTATTCGATTTCCGGTTCTCAAGTGAAATGAAGCGGAAAAGAAACAATAAAAAGGCAGCGTTTCGTTGCATCGAAACGCGAGTTGTATATTTAATTACGAGTGTGTTAGCATTGGCAGGCGGCGGCAGCTAGTTAGTTGGACGTCATGCAACAACATGTTTAATTACAATTGAGATCTTTTTTAAACTATTGAAAATAAAAAAATGATAATTTCATAGAAATATTGAAAATTTGAAATGTAAATAGTTCATAGAAAATTATAAAAAAAAAAAATCTTTAGAAAATATAATTGCTATTTGATCTGGCATTTGCTACAAGTGTGTCTCATATTAAATCGAAAGCATAAATTATTTTCCAACAATTACAACTTTGTAATATCTCCAGAGGAAATTACTTTCATTGGCAAAATTCAATATTAAACTATCTATCGTGTCTGGGATCAGATTGTAGCAATTCATTATGGCAGATGTCAATATTATAAAATTGTAACTAATATTTGCCCTCCACATGATTGAGAAATTAATTCGAAGGCTTCGAATATTGTAGTATATTTACACTAGAAGTTTTTTCGGGTTGACCTCCCTTCTTAAGATTTTTTAAATATATGCAATGCACCGACGTAGCCAGTTGGCCCATGCTGCTCGGGACTCTCTGTAATTGTAAATTTTTAGATATTTTGCATTAGCATTAGCAATAGTAAACCGATATTTGGCCGTGCTATTTAAACAAATAAAAAAGTATCGGGCGGTTTTGCCGACAGATGTATATCCTCAGCCAATGTTCAGTTATTTAAATATATTTTGACTTGTGTTTTAATTATTCAAACTGTTGATCCTCTATGGAGTAAGCTTCGAAGGAGTGGGCCAATATTGTCCATTTCGTATTGGACCTACGTAAATATGATATAAATATAGATAAATTTTAGAAAATACAGCGGACCAAAGTTTTTAATTTTCACACTTCATCTATAAAATCGAAAATCGAACATTTTGAACCAATTTTATGCGAAATTATGAATATTTCTGGTTGATAGGAGTATTTAGATACAGCAAGTTGTAAAGAATCTCTGACATGTTTCGCAAGTTAT